CTTCAGTGCAGGGAAGAATACAATTTCATACAATCCTACAGGAGTTATGCTAACAGCCAAATCAGACAAAGAAAAGTTTTATCTGGTGAAATTTTAAAGCCGATAAGCGGGCCAGAATACAAAATTAAGCAATTATGAACTGAAACAACCTGTATACCGTGGATTTCATTCAATGGCCATCTTCAGTACAAGCAAGATACAAATTTAGTACAATTCTAAGTTTATATAATGTCCGAATCTTCCAAAGAAATGTTTTATCTGATAAAGTGGTAAGGTCAATAAGCGGTCCAGAATACAAACTTCATCAATTACGAACTGAAACAACCTGTGTACCGTGGATTTCATTCAATGGCCATCTTCAGTACAAGCAAGATACAAATTTAGTACAATCCTACGGATGTATAACGTCGGAATCTTCCAAAGAAATGTTTTATCTGATGGAGTGGTAAAGCCAATAAGCGGGCCAGAATACAAAATTAAGCAATTACGAACTGAAACAACCTGTATACCGTGGATTTCATTCAATGGCCATCTTCAGTACAAGCAAGATACAAATTTAGTACAATCCTACGGATGTATAACGTCCGAATCTTCCAAAGAAATGTTTTATCTGATGAAGTGGTAAGGACAATAAGCGGGGCAGAATACAAACTTCATCAATTACGAACTGAAACAACCTGTATACCGTGGTTTTCGTTCAATGGCCATCTTCAGTACAAGCAAGATAAAAATTTAGTACAATCCCAAGTTTGTATAACGTCCGAATCTTCCAAAGAAATGCTTTATCTGATGAAGTGGTAAGCCCAATAAGCGGTCCAGAATACAAACTTCATCTATTACGAACTGAAACAACCTGTAAGAAAGGGATTGGTTCATTATTGGTGAACTTTCTCACCCATTTAGCCAATTAAATCCAACTGATCTCTACAATTATTATATTTTCGAAAAATAAAATTCTCTGAAATATCTATAATAATAGGAAAAAAAAAACAGTTTCTGTGTGTGTGTGAGGATACCATGATTTCGATCTATGGCCATCTTCAGTACAGGGAAGAATACAATTTTATATAATCCTACGATTGTATAACGTCCGAATATTTCAAGGAAATGTTTTATCTGATAAAGTGGTAAGGCCAATAAGCGGGGCAGAATACAAACTTCATCAATTACGAACTAAAGCAACCTCTATACCATGATTTCAGTCAATGGCCATTTTCAGTACAGGAAATAATACAATTTTGTACAATCCTTCGATTGTATAACAGCCGAATCTGCCAAAGAAACTTTTTAACTGGTGAAGGTTTCGACCATAGGCTACATGGCAAAAACACGAGAAAAGCTTTCAATACAAAGCAATAGTACTAAAGTCATCTCTACATTACTCCGTATACCAGGGGTTGGCAACTCGCAAGCCACATGTGGCTCTTTATGATATGAAGCTGCTTGTAGTATTTGCATAAATATAATCTTTATTTATGTGAGTAGTATTTATTGTTGACAAGAAGAAAAAAAAAACATTTTTTGGCTCTTCAAAAACTTTAAAATTGAGTAAATTTTAATTATTGACTCTTCTAACTTAAAAGGTTACCAACCCCTGCTATATACGTATACTAGCCGAATGACCCGGGCAACGCCCGGGTTTTACCCGATTGAATGTTTTGATTCAAATACTATTTGTTACAATTATAAATTGGCGCCTTAAATAAATGCATATGTTAGTTAATAACTATAGCCTATGTGCTTTATCTGTCTATGTACTGTTGGATTCCGTAGGCGTCTCTTACAGGGAAAAAGAAAGAGAGGATTCCATTTGGTTATTAACTAATATATGCATTTATTTAAGGAGCGACCCGCTCCAACACAATAATTACATAAACGAAAAGGCGAGTGGGGGGGCATGATGGGGGGGAGGGGGGGCAAAGGTGGCGTGACCGTAGCCAACCAATAGGAGGGCGCCATTCCAAAAAAAAAAGCAAACGGTGACAGAGATGAAAACTGATGACTGATTGTTGATTAGGAGATGAGGAATGACGCTCGTAACTGTATATAGAATGATAAGAATAAACGGTATGATAAATATAAACAGTAGCAATGTGTTTCTTTATTCGTGCAAAGTGTAAGCTTTAGGATCTTTATAATCCTTCCACTTATAGCTATGTCTGTAGAAGGATTATAAAGATCCGAAAGCTTGCAATTTGCACAAATAAAGAAATGCATTGCTATTATTTATATATATATATTTTTAGGGGTTCGGTGGAAGGTCAACCGCTACGACCTGGGTTTGATTCCTGCATTGGGAACTTTTTTATGATAAAAAAAGCGCTTCAGTGGCCCCCGATTCTTGCAAAAATTCAACCCCACCAGCGAGTGCGAGTAACTAAACGGTGCTCTGGCACATTTGTAAGTGCAAAGTCGAACTGCATGTGTAGACATGTGGTGCACTTACAGTAAAAGCAATCGCCTACTTCTACTCACCATGATTATCATGGCCTGTACCACGTATACTAGGTATAATCAAAGAATAAAAATCTTATTTTATACTTAATAGCAAATTCTCTTCAAATATACCTCTATGAATTAATCACGCGGTGTATTTAATTTATGCTAAAGACGCTCATATAATCCGCTCCATAGAGTAAACACTTTCCCCAATAAGTAATATTTAATTAGGGACAAAAAATACATCAGCTCTTAATTTTAAACGCTGGTAACACTGAGAGATGATTAAAATCCATTAGCATTAATTAGGTGACATAATTAGTAATCGATGGTTGACGCTAGATGGCAGGATGGTAGGTCGTCCCAATAATTTTGATAACTAGAGAATTACACACCTGAGGAAGCTTTGATTCTCGAAAGCTCGCCGAGTATAGTCGTTATTTTAGTTTACTTTTATAACTATCAATCGGATGAATCATTAACTTTGCTTTTTTAAAAATAAACAATTTCTACTGTCCTTACTGCAATGGAAAAATTAATGGGAGGGCCTGGCTCATCAGTGGTGAACCTGCCCAGCGCTTTCGCCCGTTTAATCTAATGGTAGATTAAATTGGCAAAACCGCTGGGAGGGTTCACCATTGATGAGCCAGGCCCTCCTATTAATTTTTCCATTGCAGTAAGGGCAGTAGAAATTGTTTATTTTTAAAAAGAATCATACGCGTCTATAATAGTTTCGAATTTTTATAACAGATGGCGTGCTAATGCATCATAATATGCTTTTTTAGTTTAATTATATAGTCTTATGAAATATAAACTATATATATGACACGTATATGTTTATTTTTTAAAACATGAAACAAATTTATACTGCCCTTACACTGCAATGATAAAATAATGGAAGGGCCATCAGTGGTGAACCCTACCAACAGGTTCGCCAGTTTAATCTACCATATTGCTATAATATTGCATTTTTCTTTTATACAGATACTGAAGTAGATCTCTTGGGAGAGTTATTCTGAATGAACTAGGTACATAAGCTTTTTGAGGACAGTATAAATACACACACACACACACAAAAGCCTTTATTAAGACACACAGGTCTTACAGAGGATTCTCCTTGGGGTTACAAGACGGAGAAACCTATGAAAGTGGGAAATAAAAAATGGAGAAAGATTATATACATATGGTAAATATATACAGATTATAAGAAAAAAAAATAAGAAAGAAAAAAAAAATGGAAATATGGATGACGGTATAAATACAAGTATACAATATAGTGTATGTCATCATTTGCCTAATTCCCAAGAGATATAATTTATTTTTGCCATAATTAGGATGTTAAATTGTAAATATAAATTTATCCATTTAAAAATCTGTACAAAATAAACGTGGGTACCAGCGCACGCGGGCTAATGTTACGGCACGACGCCGCGTGCGCGCGCTCACGAGTGTGGAACAAGTTCTTTTCGAAGCTTACATGTACTACGGTCGCGCCCTTCCATTCGGCTACGACGGATACGACATATACTTGTATACTATGTACTTGTGTATACTATAATTATACTTCTATATACATATAAAAATATATAACATACTTCGAATCTTGATTTTACATAAATTGCAATTAAAAGTATATATTTTTAAACCTAATATTGATATGATGCATTATCGCGCCATCTGTTATTAGAATTTTAAACTAATTTTGACATGTATGTTACTTTTCTTTTGAATAAAGCAATTTTCTACTGCTCTTATACTCTGCAATGATAATTTATAATTAATGATGGGATTCGTAAAATATATTTTTTTAATGATCAATTGTTGGTTGAAGTTGATTCAGAAAAAAATATAACCATATCAACCAATGATTTATTTAACTCCAAATGTTTCAATGACCTGCTGTTCTTTTATTTTACTTTTATAACTATCAATGTTGTTGTTGTCGTGTCCAAAGAAGAGTCTCAGATGTCTCCATGCATCTCCAACACAGCAGCAGCAATATCCACTATCTTGGGTGTGTAAAGCTGCTTCTCTGGGTCCATATCAATTTTATGCAAGGCTGCGGCCATTGCTGGGCATGAGAATATGTGAGTAGGTGTTAGTTCCACACCAGGACAGTTGTTGCATGCTCTATAGGTTCTTGTGCCATCTGGATGTATTGCCATTGCCATTTTATAGTTTTTGTCAGTTTTCTCTCAGAGTTTATTTCACATATTTGATCTTTTCTATCAATGGTATCTGTAATAAGGCAAACTCTGTTAGTGATCTTTTAATATCTTGGACATTTTTTCGGAATTGTAATAATGAATTGCTGAATTCGTTGAAATTTATTTTCTTTTATTAGGGTCTACGTTTCGTTCTGTCACTAGGCAATTCTGATAAGGAATCACCGAAATGTAACACACAAAACAATGCCTTTAAAATTATATCTATTTACCTCTACAGACATAATCTTATGTCCATAGGTTCACTAAACACCCCTAAACTGCCTTCTATAGAAAATACAGGGTATATCCCAAGCCATTCCAATACAATAGTATTACAATATATAGTATACAATAGTAAGCCTAGGGGACATGGCACCTGCCCGGTAAGCAGAAGGTTGTGGGTTCGATTCCCGCCCCTGGACACTTTTATTTTTCCCGTTCGCCATTACTATTCATATTTTCACCCTCTCATACTTCATTCAAAAAAGTTAGAAATAGTAAATATTTCTCTTTAAAATAAATATTGATTTTTCATAGAAAAGAAACTTGTGCGGTGTAACTTTAAGTATTGTTTACAATAGTAGAGCGGTCTGGAGATTAATTTGGCGAAACCGCTGAGAGGGTTCACTATTGATGAGCCAAGCCCTCTCATTTAATAACTTATATCATTGTTGTAAGGTCTGAGAGATAATATTTGATGATATTATTGAAAAGAAACACATTGCCAATAAATTGTATTCGTTACAAATTATATCGATTGATGGCAATATAATTTATAAATTTAAAACAAGCTGTACACTCAATATAAATTACATATTAAATTTATCATTTTACATTGTTATTTTACGAAATTTTCACATTCACAGCTTTATCAATATCAACAGTCTTATACAGATTCACTGCTGGAAGAAAGCATAGATAAAGCTCCTATACTCTAGACAGCATAGAACCCAACAAGAGCTTCCAGGTTTGACGTATTTTTCAAATCAAGTATTCTACTTTCAAATACCTTTTTTAAGGTAACATTGAGATCTAACAATGGAATCTTGACATATATATACATACACTCATGGACAAAACTTAAGGAATTTTTATATTTTAATGTTGCCAATTGTCTGTTTTTTTTTGTTTTTTTTTTGAAGGAGACAGAGACAATTTTGTTCATAGTTGGTTATCTCGTTTGTCTTCAATAAAGGTCACTGTGTATCAAAGATCTTTCAGAGTTATTGTCTGAATACCGATATATATGGTAAAAGGTACAACTTTCTTAAATTTTGTCCATGAATGTATAATCCTACATACTCACACACATTTTTTAAAAAAAGTTGTATCTTTTATTGAAATTTTATATTCGATTATTGAAATCCATTATTTAATAATAAACCTAAAAAATATCAAAGAGATAAATAGGTTACCGTAGCGCCATAAAAATATTACGCATAAAATTCTCTTATCTACTCGCACGTCGAAAATGATAAACGGCGAGTGGCCATGCTATTAAAAAAAGAATAGATAAAACCCACAGAAGTTTCCAAAAGAAAACAAACATATCATGCCATCTCTAATAAACATTATCCAACCAAACGACACAAAGAGCAAAATGGCGTCTAGATGGCATGGAGCAGACGACGATCGTCAACCTTAATTGCTAGGATCATCCTCCATGTCTTGGGATTACTCCACTAGAAGGACCTACCCTTAATCAGCCTTTAAAGAGGCTATTAAGTATTTTGCAATTAAAATTAATGAGAAAGGATTAATAACGGATTAATTAAATGCGGCTTAGATCTAATCAACCATTGCTCAGATAATTATTCAAACTTTGTTGTTTTTTATCTCGCTCGCTACCTTTAAGACATAAATTACTTAAAGTTTAGCCATAAAATTTCAGGTGCTCTTAATCTTTGTAGGATTTATTGGAGAATGATTTTTATTGTCTGACAAATACTCTATGATACATGGAAAATCCAAGTATTGGTTAGCTATAACTATTGATTAGAATTTAATATATTATGTGATGAAATTGGGAGTCTATATAGAGATAAACTATGGTTAGTATAAAACATATTTTAAAATTTATTGCATTAGCTTGTTTTTTTCTAACTTTTCATAAGTATAAATGGTGCAGGCCTTGATAATCGTGGTAGGTAGTTATCGACTGCTTTGATTGGAAGTCCACCACATGTCTACCGTCCATTTTCGACAGCCAAAACCCAGGATCGAATCCCTCATTGGACACTTTTTCTGAATGAATATTTTTCCAATAGCCCCCGATTCTTACAAAATTCCAAACCACAGATGTCAGATCTGGTAGATATAATTGTTTAAACCTTTGTATAATGGTATAAAACAACATTTTTGTTGTCACACAAGAACCTATAGGACATGAAACAACTATCCTGGTGTGGAACTAACACCTATCCACATATTCTCATTTTCAGAAATGGCCGCAGCCTTGCAGAAAATTGACATGCACCCAGAGCAGCAGCTTTACACACCTAAGATAGTGGACATTGCTGCTGTTGTGATAGAGATGCATGGAGACATCTGAGGCTCTTCATTGGACACGACAACATCAACAATACATTTTAGCTCATAAACCAGATACTGATTGTTAAGTTGAGTAACGATGTTTGCCCCACAACACTCCTTCCGTAGAATGTTATGAATTCGAACGTTCTCCTGTAATAAAAAGGACCATAACCCAAAACCATGGTATATAAGTTGGCTTTTATCATCACAAGTTTGCGGAAACCGACAAATGACACACACACAAAAAGCATAGGACACCGTATAACTCCTTTTATTTACTTTATTAAAGGAAGGTTTCGGAGGCTTTAAAGGAGCCTTTAAAGAAGCCTTTGAAGGCTTTAAAGGAAGCTTAAAATGTTTTGGTTAGCTGAAGAAGCGCTTGTCCGAAAGTTTCTTTTAATCAGATAAATAAAAAGTGTTGCGGCCGTCTTATGCTTTTTTTTTTTTGGTAATAGGTTGAATTTTGTCTGAAATTTCCTAAACTGGTGTCGTTGCACATATTTCATTACCATTCTGTACTGTTTGGTGTTAAGCCAAAATACATTGTTTTAAGACATTTCTAACGATATGGATTTCACAGATTTTACTACCCTCGATAGCTCAGTTGGCAGAACGGAGGACTGTAGATGTTTAAATGGTGATCCTTAGGTAGCTCGTTCAAATCCGGCTCGAGGGAATTTTTTTAAATTGGGTTACCTTTGATACTTATATATAGTTTGAGTATTAATACTCTACTCAGAAATCCTCCTGATTGGTTAATCTCTACTGACAATTTAATTATGCTCATTCTTGATATATCATTTTTAACCTTAGCCTGTATTGTCCTGGTGTGGAAATAACACCTACCCACATATTCTCACGTCCAGCAATGGCCGCAGACTTGCAGAAAATTGGCAGGGACCCAGAGCAGCAGCTTTACACACCCAATATAGAGGACTTTGAGACTTCTGTGATAGAGATTTATGGAGACATCCGAGGCTCTTCATTGGACCCGACAACAACAAATACAGAAAATTGGCAGGGACCCAGAGCAGCAGCTTTACACACCCAATATAGAGGACTTTGAGACTTCTGTGATAGAGATTTATGGAGACATCCGAGGCTCTTCATTGGACCCGACAACAACAAATACAGAAAATTGGCAGGGACCCAGAGCAGCAGCTTTACACACCCAATATAGAGGACTTTGAGACTTCTGTGATAGAGATTTATGGAGACATCCGAGGCTCTTCATTGGACCCGACAACAACAAATACAGAAAATTGGCAGGGACCCAGAGCAGCAGCTTTACACACCCAATATAGAGGACTTTGAGACTTCTGTGATAGAGATTTATGGAGACATCCGAGGCTCTTCATTGGACCCGACAACAACAAATATAGAAAATTGGCAGGGACCCAGAGCAGCAGCTTTACACACCCAATATAGAGGACTTTGAGACTTCTGTGATAGAGATTTATGGAGACATCCGAGGCTCTTCATTGGACCCGACAACAACAAATACAGAAAATTGGCAGGGACCCAGAGCAGCAGCTTTACACACCCAATATAGAGGACTTTGAGACTTCTGTGATAGAGATTTATGGAGACATCCGAGGCTCTTCATTGGACCCGACAACAACAAATACAGAAAATTGGCAGGGACCCAGAGCAGCAGCTTTACACACCCAATATAGAGGACTTTGAGACTTCTGTGATAGAGATTTATGGAGACATCCGAGGCTCTTCATTGGACCCGACAACAACAAATACAGAAAATTGGCAGGGACCCAGAGCAGCAGCTTTACACACCCAATATAGAGGACTTTGAGACTTCTGTGATAGAGATTTATGGAGACATCCGAGGCTCTTCATTGGACCCGACAACAACAAATACAGAAAATTGGCAGGGACCCAGAGCAGCAGCTTTACACACCCAATATAGAGGACTTTGAGACTTCTGTGATAGAGATTTATGGAGACATCCGAGGCTCTTCATTGGACCCGACAACAACAAATATAGAAAATTGGCAGGGACCCAGAGCAGCAGCTTTACACACCCAATATAGAGGACTTTGAGACTTCTGTGATAGAGATTTATGGAGACATCCGAGGCTCTTCATTGGACCCGACAACAACAAATACAGAAAATTGGCAGGGACCCAGAGCAGCAGCTTTACACACCCAATATAGAGGACTTTGAGACTTCTGTGATAGAGATTTATGGAGACATCCGAGGCTCTTCATTGGACCCGACAACAACAAATACAGAAAATTGGCAGGGACCCAGAGCAGCAGCTTTACACACCCAATATAGAGGACTTTGAGACTTCTGTGATAGAGATTTATGGAGACATCCGAGGCTCTTCATTGGACCCGACAACAACAAATACAGAAAATTGGCAGGGACCCAGAGCAGCAGCTTTACACACCCAATATAGAGGACTTTGAGACTTCTGTGATAGAGATTTATGGAGACATCCGAGGCTCTTCATTGGACCCGACAACAACAAATACAGAAAATTGGCAGGGACCCAGAGCAGCAGCTTTACACACCCAATATAGAGGACTTTGAGACTTCTGTGATAGAGATTTATGGAGACATCCGAGGCTCTTCATTGGACCCGACAACAACAAATACAGAAAATTGGCAGGGACCCAGAGCAGCAGCTTTACACACCCAATATAGAGGACTTTGAGACTTCTGTGATAGAGATTTATGGAGACATCCGAGGCTCTTCATTGGACCCGACAACAACAAATACAGAAAATTGACATGGACCCAGAGCAGCAGCTTTACACATCCAATATAGAGGACTTTGAAACTGCTGTGATAGAGATGCATGGAGACATCCGAAGCTCTTCATTGGACCCGACAACAACAAATACAGAAAATTGGCAGGGACCCAGAG